CCCTTGCTTTGGCCAGCTTGGGTTGCCTTTCGTGTCGCTTCTGCAGTGTGCGAAACACTGGTTTGGCCAAACCGATCTCCGCCCTTGACTTTGACAAGGGGGACCTTCGGTGTTTTATTTCTGTCCTGGTGATTGGCTGTGGTTTCAATTGATTTTCTTGAACCGGGCTCTTTCATTTTGGATCTACACCTCTGCAGGTGGGTTTACACCTGATTCAATTTTTGATTGACAATTCAATTCATTTCTTTTGCGCTTCTGCTGGTGTGCGACAACACCGGGTCATTGACACAGTGGTATTTTCCTATATGCTTCAGCTGACCTTGCTTATATTGATTTGTCAGGTTGGCGGGTTTTTCTTTGACCTTCAGGCGAAGGGCTCGGAGACACAGAGCTTTGGCTCGTCATCGCTGGTTTTTGCACAAAGCAAACATCAAGCCTTTGGACGCGCGAGCTCTGGCAGGAATTTATCAGCATTTGTCTACACATCATTCCAAGGACGTCAGGTTTTTGAGTGCCATTCGTCGATCTATTGCGATAGCCATGGCCCACCAAGATCAGTTGTTCCCCTGGCGTTGCCAGTGCGGCAGCCTCAATGCAAAGCGGGCGGTCCACTGTCCGATTTGCGCACAGCACTGGACCTCAGGAACCCCCCATGCAACTCAGCCGAGGGCACAGGGTTCAGGCCAGAATCGACAGCAGCGCTGGCACCAGCAAGCCCCGAGGCAAGCCCAAAGCTGGAAGCAGGAGATGGAAGCCAGAGAGCAGGGGCAATGGGTCAAATCCCCCCGCCGCCAATCCCCCAGGCATCGCTCGAGTTCCAACCGAGCAAAGCCAAACAAGGGCAAGGGAAAGCAGAAAGGTGGTTTGGTGCCCCAGGTGTCTCAGGACAACTCGGAGGTCAAGCAGCAGTCGGGACCGCCCGCTGTGCTACCCACCTATCAAGAAGCACCCTGGCTGATGGCACCCCCGCCTCCAATTCCGCCGATCACCCAGCAGGCCGATCCAAATGCCACTGCTGCCACGGCGGCAGTCAATGCTGCCGAAGCCAAGCTGCGGTCTATGTATGCTCTACTCGAAAAACATCCCGAAGGGCTACATCCCGACATTCAGAAGGAAATGAAGGAAGTGAAACTCAAGGAAGGGGAGGTAGCGATCAAGTCGTTACACAAGCAGGTCAATGCCTTGGGAAAAGCTCGTACAGAGCTCCAACACGCCAATGCCGCAAGATTGGCATTGCATTCGTCCTGGCGTGCCTTCCTGGTCGAGCAAGTGTCCAAATGGCAGGCATATTCCCAGCAGTTTCAACAGCAGGAATCAGCGCTGGCCGAAAGAGTCTCTGCAACGCGCACTGCGTTGGATATAGCTCGCTCCAACCTAGCAGTTTCCCGATCACTCCTTCAGAAGGATCAGCAGCAGGAAGAGGCAGAGATTACCACCGTCAGCGACGACGAGGAGGAGTCTCGCGAATCCAAGGAAGCTGCGAATTCCAGCGCAAAGAAGATCAACGACAGCTTGCAGCACTTGGGAGAGAGTTTGCAGAAATTGAGTGCAAATGCGGACGAGATGATGATTGCGGAGCAGCAAGCCCACAAGCGTCAACGGGTCGAAGCACCCTCGGAATCACCAGGGGTGGCTGCTATGGACGATGGTCCCCCGCATTTTCATTAGGCCGGATTGGTATGACTTCTAAGTATGCTGTCCATTGGCCGGTGTCAGTAGGCATTTTGCCTGATCCTGATGGTCTTGTCCACCAGTGGCAACATTCCATTGTGCGTGATGCTGATTTTTGCTCGGTGTGGGCAGCCGCTCACAGGGCTACAGAACTCGCATTGCAGTTTGGATGTTCCACTTTCCATCCTCCAGCCCCATGTGTCAAACAAAGTGTTCCGCGTGTTGGTCGAGCCGCTGTCACTTTCAGTCCCATGGTGGAAGTTTTGATAGGTGCAGAAGATTCAATTCGTATGGCCCAATTGCAAGTGCCAGCCGAAGTGCTTGGCATGCCAGACAAGCCTTGGTCCAATGCATACAATCCCTCCAATGTTCCGCGTAGCCTTGAGACATTTCAATATCATCGTGACTTGGGTTGTCCGATTGAGTGTCTCTTTGAGGGTTTTGCTGCTTCGAGGTCTCATGGCTTGGATTCATTTGCATGTGTAGTGCAGTCAGCAGTACCTCTGCTTAGACGTTTTGCCCTTCGGTGCGTGTTCCAAGTTTGATGAATTGGATGTGTTTACGAAGATATTCATTTCCGATCCTCTTTTTCCATTTTGCTTGCATTCCTCAGTTAATTCGCAGGGTTTTGAGAGGCACGAAGATGCTTCCAATTTTGTAGACGCACATGCACAGGAGTTTGTCGACCACCTTGATGCTGCCGACCTCCGTGGCGATCCGCTGTCAGCAATGGCCGTGTTGATCCCGGAGTCATCTCAGTTGCGTCGCATCCGAACATCCCCTATGCTGGCCAGGGCACAATTGAAGGCTAAGCCCATCTTGTGTCCGCAAGCAGACGGTTCTGACGGTTCGTCTGGTTTTTCACCAGGCACACATATGGCAGGACAATCCGCCAGTCTGATGTCCCGTGCCTCCCAGCCGTTGCAGGTTCCGCCGTTCGCTTTAGACATCATTCGTTCACTGCCTGTTGAATTTCAAGCCAACCCGGTTCGCATTGTTCAAGGTGTCTTGGTTCGTTCTTGGTTGCTGCACCATGTTACTTTTCCACGATCCTTGAACCCTAGGCAGGCAGTATTGAGAGGACCTCCACACCTGTGGAGAGCCCAACTACTCCAGGCTTGGTTTGGTGACAATGTTCCGCAAGAGGAAATCTCCATTGACCTGGTTGTACCGTCCCCCCCACGAAATTGGCATGAGACCCACCTGCTGTTCGATGTGATTTTGGCACAAGGTGTTGCTTCAGGACGCAAATCATGTCTTGTTACGATTTCACCCACCTTCCAGCATCCAGCCATTCACATGTACTCCACAGCAGTATCCTTTGCGCAGGTTATCAGTGGACAAGATGTTGTGACCGACTCTGATATTCAAGACTTGTGCAATTTGCATGACTGCTTGATTTTTCAGGACCAAGTGTTTCTGCCCATTGATTTTACCCGCAATTTTCCTGTCCAGCCTGGAGCCGGATTTGTGGTCTACGTAAACACGAGGCAGGACACCGCAGCCACTGCAATTGAGCAGCCTACCGAAGTTTTGGATCCTGCCCCTGAACCGGATCAACCTGATGCTGAAATGACCGACCAGGTGCAACAAGGCAGTGCTGCCTCCACTCAGCACTCCCCTGCTGTCACTGCTAGTCGAGGGTTAGATGTTACACCTCGACGTCGCATCACGTTGTATCGTCTCAATCGTGTCCCAGTCGTCGCTTGGGTTCGTCTCTCGAGATTCTCAATGCTGCTTCAGGACATTTTGGAGATCATGGCCATCCCACCCGATGAGTTAGTTGCGGTTCATCGCATTCATGCCAAGCCGGTAGGAGAGCCCAAACATGAAACCAGTTTCATTGTGCAGCATCAGGGAGATGTCCAACCGGGATCGGCGGATCAATTAATCCTGTTGGATGTTGCGTTCCATCAGCATGGCTCGGCTACGTACCCAATCGCGCCTGTTCATTTTGACCGTCGAGTGTTGCGTATCCCTTCTGTTGCCACCAGGCTTGGTTTGCTTGAGCTTGCCAGGGTTGCACAATATTGCGAGTTTCGTCATCATGCCTGTATCGTCATGATTGATCACGTTATTTGGCAGTCACAACATGCTGGAGTGCGTTTCCTGCCGCATGGTACGTACGGTCGGATTCATGTACCCCCACCACAAGTTGCAGGAGCTGAGACATGCCGAGCTGTCTCTTTGGTCGAGACGATTGGAGATCCTCAGCCGCCAACCTTTGAACAGGTATATCCTCTTCTGCCTACCCATACCTCATCCAATATGCGTGCAGAAGATTATGATGAGCCCCCGCCACAGGACTGCCTTGGTGACGCCATTTGCAATGCCTCGGGCTCTGTTCATCAGCACCGTATTGATGATGCTCACCATGCACAACCGCCAAGTTTCGAGGCTTCCACCCCGGCGCAAGCTGCACCAGTGTTTCCCAATGCACCCCATTGGCATGACTTTGAACTCAGCCTGCGCATTTTGTTTGAGGACCACAGCCATGTTGAGTTGCCGGAAGAAGGTCCTGTCTTGCATGTCATCACCTGGTTTGTACATCATGACAGATCGCCGTCATGCCTTGTTGGTAGGTTCATCCGTCTATCCAACCGACCGTGGGAGTGGCTTCAGCAGCTTTGTATGCCCTGGTTACCTATGTTGCAGCCGTTTACGGATCTTGATTTCCATATTGTGCGCCCGACACCTGTCTCCCATATTCCAGGTCAGCAAGCTGTCCATGTGATTTTGGAACAGGGCATTCAGATTGCACGTCGTATCGCTCTGTTCTCGGTTTTGTTTCATGGTATCCATGGTGATCTCACGCACCGTAGAGCCCAGTCCGTCCCAACTCATCTGTCCCGTGAAGTGATTGAGCGCATTCTTAACATTGGGGAATTGTGCCGTCAACGACGTTGCACGGCATGGGCAGGTCGCATGCAATTTCATCGATCGCGTCTGGAACAGATTTCACAAGGCCTTGGAATTTCCTTCACGGTCACGCCCTTTCGTAATCGTTTTGCGCAGGTTGATGATGACGGCTTTCCTATTCCCGACACTGCGTCTTCCTCGCATATTCCTGCCAGGATGTCCTTTCGGCCAGAGGATGCTTCTTTGTATCCGAATGCGTGTTGGGCTGCTAATGACGTAGGTCCCTGCATTGAACATGCCCCTTCCAGACTGGTGCCAGAGCTTCGAGTCATTTGGGAAAGGTATTTAGTTACCGCCACTGCTCGACCGTTTCGTTTCTACGTTGAAACATGGTACTGTGACCATGATAGATTTCCTCGCACTGATCGTGGTCGTGAAGTTCAACTTCCACCTGACCAAGACTCGTGGCGGGATGCCCTACTGACCAAGTGGCAAGATCTCATCGACCCCAGTGCAGAGGTCTTTATATACGTGGTTAACCCTCAGCCGTTTGGTGGCCCCACGGACATCCTTGCGCATGTTATTCTGGCTCAGCATCAGCATCGTGGATTCATTTCATCATTGATCACCACACTTGCGCCCGGTGATGATCCATATGATCCTCCTCGTGTTGCCTTGAAGTTGCCTGCGGTAGTGGACAAAGGCCTGCTGTTGCAAGAGAGTGGACTACTTCATTTTTGCCCGCCGTTCATTCCATTGAACACTTGTGCAGCCTTTTATGGTGACCAACCGGTCTTGCAGGATGTCCTTCGGGATGCACAATCTGGTGATGGATTTCTGTGTACCGTTGATCCGGCAGCCACTGTAGCAATTGGCACTGCTTCTTATGATCGCCACCCCAGCCATGTGCAATGGCTTTTTCAACACCTGGCCACACTTATTACTGCAGTTGTCACAGCTATCGATCGAGCGGTTGAAGCCCAAGCTGGTTGGGTCCAATCCAATGCATGTCTTGCCAATGAAATTTCAGCAGTCCAACTTGAGTGCATTGAACTCCAGCGGGAGCAAGAAGCCTGTGCAGGGACCACATTTGCTGCGGGTGACGACCCTGTCTGCCGTAGGATCAAGACATCGGAAGTCCCCTTTTCGCAGTCCACTTCTGTAAAGGCCCACAACTGTTTGCGTCTTTCTGATCATGCAGGCTGTTCTAGGGTTTTGTTGAGTCCAGAGTTTGAAGCCTGGCTTGGCAAATCTGTTCGTGCAGCTGTTGGCCCCCTGAGGGTTACAGTTTGGTTCTCGGATCATTTGCGCCCACATGACTGCCTTGGTTCAGCACTGGCCATGCTCGATGTTTCGGATGGTTCATGGCTTGAGGTCCTTACCCAACCATGGCTCTCTTGCATTGACAGGGGATCCAATCTCAAGGTTTTGCTTGTCCAGCCGCGAGGTCTGCCTCTTGGAGATGCGTCGGATGCACATGTCATGTTGTTGCAAAACCCTATTCCGGATCTTGCGTCTGTTTTGTTTGTGCTGCAGGATGTTGCCGTTGCCCCTCCTCGCATTAAGCTTAGTGTTGCGGTTGTGGCTGAACCCATCACACCAGCGACTCTCGCTTTCGCGTTGCATCAGCACCGGGGCTTAGGCGTTAGTGCCCTGGCTGGGGATTGCACCTTCACATGGGGTGCTGGGCCTGTCCCCCCTGTAGGTCCTCCGGGTGTGCACCATGCCGAATGTTTCGGAATTACCCTCAGTCATTCCGTAGACTCATGGGTTGGACTTACTGATACTCAGTTTGCTCACCTGCTCAAAGCCTCATTTTTGGCCCCAGAGCCAGTGCCTGAACCTCGCACTGGTAAGCCTGTGAGACTGTCTTTGCAAGCAGTTGTGCTTGTTGCGTCCGACAGACCATCGGCACGCCAGTTTGACGATGCACTGCCTACCATTTCCATGTTCGAACACCCGGATTGGAGAGCGCGCATTTTTGATCAACCACTGCCTCAGCTCTTGCCATTGCCAGAGGGTTTTACGATTCCCCCTGCCACGTATTGGGCCTTGGTTGACGACACCCCGTTAGACCCGGATCGTCCATCATGGGCGGAGCTGTACGTCGATGGGTCCACCAATGAGTTGTCCGCGGCATGGAGTGTTGTGGTTGTACGTACCGATGGTCATGCAAGCCACTTCGTCGGCACCCTCTTTGGTAGAGTCGAATTGGCAGTCGAACAGGACACCTGGATTGGAGCACAAACGATTGACAATATTTCTGCTGAGTTCACGGCATTTGCCATTGCCTTGGACCTCGCTTGCCGCATGGTACCAGTTTGCTCTGTAGTTCGGCCAGACTTGCAGCTCAGTGCCCTACTTGCTGCTCAGCAATGCGTCACGGACTCCAATCCTCGTTTGGCTCAGCTAATTTCTATCCTTGCCGCATGGTTGCCTCCAGACGCATCAGTCCATGAAGTCCGTGGGCATTCGGCCCATCCGTGGAATGATCTTGCAGATGCCATGGCACGTTGGGCACTTCGTCACGAACCGGGTGTTGTGCATGCAGTTGACGTTCTGCACAATCTTGTTGCTGCGGCTGGTGACCTGCACTGGTCATGGGTACAGGGTGGTCCGGAGTCTTTGTTTCAGGTTTTGCCTCCGATTGTTGACCAGCAGGTCTGCCAATTTCCACTCTCTTTACGCAAGGTCAACCGTGACTCCGAAGTCTTGCAACCCTCCGTAGACCCCTGCAAATGTGAGCTTAAGGTCATCTCTCTTAATGTTCTGGCACTCGACTCACTTACCCAGCAGGTTCACATTGGTAGACAACGAGGCCAAAGAACTGCACGTCTTGACCTGTTATGGCATCAAGAGCAAGCGCATATCATTGGACTTCAAGAAGCCAGAACTCTTCCTGGCAAACATGTGACTGACCATTTTCTCATTTTCGCTTCTGGCTTTGAAGACTCTTCAGCCCCGAGATTCGGTTGTGAGATTTGGTTACATCGTACTCGTCCTTTTGTGGTTCTCCCGGACGGGTCCCATGTTTGCGCTCAGGACTTCAAGTTTGCAGTTGTTCACGCTGACCCTCGTAGATTACTCTTACGTGCTGACCATCCCTCTTGCTCATTCACTGTCTCAGTTTTGCATGTCCCTTGCCTAGGAAAGACCAAAGGTAACGGTCATCGTCCCATTGACGATATTGAGAACTGGTGGCAGGAAACTTCTCGCATTTTTGATGGTTGTGCGCCCACAACTTACCATTGGGTTTGTGTCGATGCAAATGCACCGTTGGCTTCGCAAGCGACTCCCTGCTTTGATCTTGCTCATGCTGAACCTACTAATCCACAGGGTACGTTGTTTGAGGATTTCCTTCTGAGGCATAGTTTGGCTGTTCCCGCCACTTTTTCACACTTGCATTCAAGGGACTCATGGACATGGACCCACTCTTCCGGGGCTCGATGCCGGCGGGACTACGTGCTTGTTCCTGTGTCACTTTTGCCTTGTGTGCAGGACTCTTTCACTGTGGCTTCCTATGATGGTTCGTTTTGCCATGAAGATCACATTCCGACTGGAGTACATTTCGCTGCATATCTGCCGTCAGCCACATCCAAGAGGCGGTTGCTTTGGGACGAAATGGCTTTTTTGGATCCTAGTACTATTGCCCAGTTTCAGGATGCTCTGAGAACTTTACCACTGCCTACATGGGATGTCAAGGTGACCGACCATTGCCACATCTTTGAAGATCAAGTAGTGCAGTTAGGTCAACAGTTTTTTGGTAAGAAAACCAGCAAGCGTGCACGTCCTCCGCTTACTGCAGCCACGGTTCAGTTGATTGCTTTTAAGCGCCATTTGCTGGACGTTGGACGAGCCTGGAATCTTATGACAGACTCAGAGTTCAAACAAGAACTGAAGCAAGTGGAAAAGGTTGTTCGCACCGCCGTCCATTCGGACCTTGCCAATTTCTATGATCAACTGCTTGTTCGTCTTCAGCATGCCGATCAAGCTGCAGATGCGAAGCAATTGTACCGCATTCTTGACCGACTTGGGCGCAAGAAGGCCAAGCAAGGCGGTCCCCGCCCTTTGCCCATGCTCAAAGGGCCCAACAGCGCAAATTTGCAGTCTTTTCAACAACAGCAGCAGGTATGGCTTAAGCAATTTGCCGAAGTAGAAGCGGGAGTCCCTTTGACATGGACTGCTCTATATGATCTTTGTCGGCCAGGTATTTCCAGAGTTGATTTTGAGCTTGACCCTCAAGCCTTTGTCTCTCCGTGGCAACTGATGCAGGCCATCCGTAAACTGCGTCGGGGTAAGGCATGTGGTCCCAACGGCATGCCTCCGGATTTGCTGAAAGCCGGTGGATCCACCTTTGCCATGCAACTCTCTTGCCTGACGAACAAGGTCATTGCACACGTGCATGAGCCAACCTCTTGGCGTGGGGGTAAGTTGATCCCTTTGTATAAGGGTAAAGGAAGCCCGCATGAGCCAACTTCCTTTCGCTCAATCTTTATTTCTGATTTTACAGCCAAGGTTTATCATGCCTGCCTGCGTAAACCTTTAGAGCAGAATTGGTCGGCAGGATTGCACTCCATGCAATTCGGAGGCAGAGCGGGATGTGGTGTAGACCTGCCGCATCATTTTCTCCAGATGCATCAGTGCTGGGCGCGCCACTTAAAAAAGCCTGCAGCGATTGTTTTCTTTGACATGAAAGCGGCTTTTTACTCCGTTCTGCGGCAAGCCCTCACCTCCTGTGAGGACACTTCCAATGCTTTTCAGTTTGCAATGCACCAGCTTGGGCTCAGCGATGCTGAGGTTGGAGACATCCTACAGGCAGTAGCACATGAGAATGCGGTTGAGGGCGTGACCCAGCACGTTGAAAGACTTGTCCATGATACCATGTCAGGCACTTACTTCACAGTCGAGGGCATTGACTCGCCAGTTGCCACTCACAAAGGTACCAGACCCGGCGATCCGATTGGTGATCTCCTCTTTAACCTCACGATGAGTCAGATTCTGGCAGAAATGAAAGATCTTGTCATTCAATCTGACGTTGCAGAGTGGTTTGGTGATCCCTCTCAGTGCAGTGACTTTAGTAAGCCTGATGATCTGCCGGCTAAGGGGTTCGCAGATGTCTCATTTGTTGATGACTGTGCAGTTGCGATCCATGCCGAGGATTTGTCCCAACTGCAGACTATTGCTCAGCAAGTAGTCTCTGCAATGCATGTGGCAGCTCGGCGCAGAGGGTTACATCTCAACTTTGATGCAGGAAAAACTGAGATGCTGTGGCATGTGCAAGGCCGTGGCTCCAAACAACTCAAGCAACATTTGATGGCCACTCACCAAACAATCACATGGACTGCTCATGGAGTTGACTTTGCCTTAAGAGTTGTGCAGACGTATAAACACCTTGGAACATGGCTTCAAAGTGGGGGCTGTTTGCTCAAAGAAGTTCAGACCCGTGCTCATGGAGCTAGGTCGTCCTGGGGTTCCCTCACCAGACAGTTCTTTGCCAAAAAGTACGTCTCCACTCCCACTAAGGTGAAAGTTTTTCGTGCCCTTGCTGTTTCCCGTCACATGTTTAATGTCCACACGTGGAGTACCATTAAGCCTGCTGACCTTGACAAATGGGCCAATTCCATTCGACAGCCCTTGTGTTCGTTAGCCAAGACTGCTACCAAGGGCTTTCCTCCGCGCTTGTTTGATGTGGCTACTTTAGGAGGATTGATTGGTCTGGAGACACCTCAGGACCGCCTACATGCTGCACGTTTGAGGTATTTCTCACGGCTCATTCGCCAGTGCCCGGCTTCCCTCTGGAGCCTCATTTGTCACACTCGACATCTTCCCGGCACATGGGGCGCTCTGCTTGCAGACTCCTTCACATGGTTTTGTACCTTTTATGGGCCTGGCTGGAAGCTTGCACCAGATGCGCCGCTTGACCAATGGGTGCTTGCAGTTCAGACAGATTTTGCATGGAAAGGACGGATTAAATCTGCGCTGAGAAAGAGTTGTCGCTATCGTCAAGCTAAGGCTGAACATGCAGTGTGGCAAAAGGCCTTTGACCGCAGTTTCCATGCTGACACAGGCCTTCCGGTCCACACCCTTGAAACCGATGACCCTAGATGGCAATGCGACCAATGTGATAAGTGGTTTGCTTCAAAAAAGGCCTTAGCCACCCACTCGCAACGGGTGCATGGTTATCGCAGATTGGTCCGTTTCTTTGCCTCAGGCGACACCTGTCCGGCTTGTTGTAAGCTTCATCATTGTCGCATGCGTTTATGCCAGCACCTTACCCACAGTACTGCTTGTATGGAAATTTTGCAGGCTTGTTTCTTGCCTATGGCCGATGCGGAAGTGGAGGCACTGGATCGCTTGGATGACAGCGTGACTGCAGAGCTCAAGAAACAGGGTTGGTGGCGCACAAAGGCTCTCCTTCCTGCCTGTCGAGCCTTTGGACCTATGCTGCCGCCTGCCAATAGTGACGCTGCCCGAGACCTCTATGCGCGTTGTGTTGCTCGCTCTCAACCTGCAGGACAAGCGTTCACGCAATTACAGGGTCGCATGGTGGCAAGCGATCCGGTTGCACCGGCACCACCTTCTCCCTGCCAGCAAAATGCCATCGGATTTGTCTTTCAGTCCGAACAAGGTACCCTTGACGGAGCGGGGCTTTTCCTCCGAGATGGGTTGCCTGCCTTGACTATGAGGATGAATTTGAGAACGTTGGTTTTCGTACATTTCTTCAGCGGTTTCCGCCGACGGCATGACTTGCATGACATTTTGTCCCATCAAATCCTCCCTGATGGATTGCAGATCTTCGCATTATCGGTGGATATGTGCCTTCAGAAGGCAGCTGGGGATTTGGCTTCAGACGCGTCTTTGGCCTTCTGGCGTAACCAAGTTCTTTGTGGCCGCATTTTCGGAGCAGGCGGTGGCCCGCCTTGTGAGACGTTTACATCCGCAAGACTTTCTGAGGATGGACCTCGGGCAGTTCGCTCGGCTGCGGATTTGACTGGTTTGCCGTATCTTTCGGCTCGTGAATGGAGACAGGTTCTTATTGGAACACGTTTGGTCCAGTTCATTCTGGATATTTTGTTTTTGTTGGCATGCACTGGAGGGTGTGGTTTTTGCGAACATCCGCAGTTTCCAGTGTGGTGTGCTTCCAAAGCGCCGTGCAGCATTTGGTCTTTCGAAGCCACCAAGAAGATGCGACAATTGCAATGTGTGTCCATTGTCTCCTTTGATCAGTGTGTGCTTCACGCACCGATTAAAAAACCAACCACTTTGCTTCTGGTTCGACTATGGGATTTCAGAGCAACTGTTTTGGCTGCAGGCAGAGCTGGCAGATGCGCCCATGGTCGGAACGCGCACGAGAAGTTGATCGGCCGTGATTCCCGGGGCCAGTTTAGAACCGCGCGTGGCAAAGTGTATCCGCCCCATATGAATTGGGCGCTTGGGCATGCTATCAGGTGTTACGTTGAGAGGACATTTCCGAGCGCTGAGTCCCACTCCGTCACTGATATGCTGCCTGAGATTTTCCAGCGCTATGCAGAAGAGGATTTTGTTGCCTGTGACCAGGTCCAACCGGACTTTCATGGCTAAGGCACTTGTACAGCACCTCTGCAGGCGTTTCTTTCACAGCGCTGCAAGACCGAGTGCACCATGCACAGTATCGCGAAAGTGAAAAGTGGTATGGTATGGTATGGTATGGTATGGTGTGGTGTGGTGTGGTGTGGTGTGGTGTGGTATGGTATGGTATGGTATGTATGTTATGGTATGGTATGGTATGGTATGGTATGGTATGGTATGTATGTATGTATGTATGGCATGGTATGGTATGGTATGTATGTATGTATGTATGTGTCTATATATCCGCACTTATCACTGAAACGACACTTCGAAATATGTTCTCATGCAAGTACTTTGGATGTGGTGTACAGCCTCTTGAAAGTGAATTAATGTCACTGGGGATGCTCGCACTAGGTTCTCTCTCGGCTTCTAGGATTTTGCAGGCCAATGAACCTCATGTGCCGAGGTCCAAAAGGTCTTGGAAACACCCAAATCTGTTTAGCTGGATCTCTCAAGTTTTTTTGGTTGGTATCCGCTCCATTGGAACATGATGGAACTACTCGCCTTCATATTCATGGGATTAATTCCCAGACCCTCATGCTAGCTATGTCTTGCCATTGCAGATTGACTATGCATTCACATTCTCCTTTGTTGTTACATTCCATATTGGATATAGTTGGGGTATACTAATATACTTCTGAGTATGTTCTCATCCCCTGTTAACTGTATCCTGAAGCTTCGTGGATTACATCCTGTAGATGATAGCTGCACGCTGGGGTGCATCCAGGCATCCGAAGTGGGTAATATCCATATATATATATATACAGTATATATATATATATCCATATACCCAAATCAGATACGTGGTATATTGCTAGTTGTATGATATTATATGATATGTAATATAAGAGTGTATACAGATACAGGTATATACATTTTATATGGGCTGTAAACTATTTATCATCCTCCTCTGGTGTACCTAAAGAGAATGAGGGGGCAGGAGCACCTTAAAAAAAAGAAGAACAAGCAAATCTGAAAATAAAATGGGGTCAGACCCCAGCATTTTATTTTTGTGGGTGCATTAAATTTTTGAGGTGCCCAACCCATCAAGTTAACTGACAGAGATAGCATGATAGCAAAGATGCACAGCTGTGAACGGTCTGATCATTTTGTGAAACCTTCCAGAGATTTGGAATCACTTGGACATTATGGAGCATATGAAACTGAAAATGGATAATTCGAAAATGGTTGGCCCCCCTCATTTTCTATTGCCTCCCTTGGCCAACACAAGACACACGGGCAGCTCACAGCAGCCAATGAGATTTCTTCAGTTTATTTATCTTTATTTGTATGTTTTCTAGAAAGCATCCAGATGTCAGAATTGGTACCAATTATATTTATTTGTATGTTGGAGGTTGGGTCTTGCCATTTTGAAGGTTTTCCTTCAAAGATGATTAAAACCAAAAGAAAATGCTGGAGCCCGAGGTCCAACAGTTGCCAGGTGGAGGGGGCCTGACGTCATATTCTTTTTGTACCTGTCCATTGTATTTTGCTTGGGTTTTCCTATCTTACCTTATGCCCTCTCATTTTATTGGCATTTTGTCCTTAGGCCCCTGCATTTTATTATATTTTTTTAGGGGTTCCACCCCCCTGGCACCAGACGGTGCTATTTATATACTTGTTGGATGGAAATTCAAGTAAAGGCCGTAAAGGCCCCGCAGCCGTTAAAGGATTCGTCGCGGCATGCGCGATTTGGTCTTTGGTGAACCTGGGAGCATCGGCCTAGCGCCTTGATGGTAGAACTCAGGGAGGCCTGGGCTGGTCGTTTTTTGATGGTCAAGATTCCACTTTTGGATGTGCACGGTGGCGATGTAGAAAAGGGCCAACATGTCAGATTTTGGGGTTACGACATGTTGATCCAGACATATCCATACCGTCCATACCCATTTTGGGATGCTTGGGTTGGCAAACCTATAGGAATTCGAGCAATAAAATGGGAATGAACTAAATAGAGGATGCGGCTGTGGAGTGTTTACATAGGCAATCAACATCAGTGACCTGATTCGTATTTATAGTGAGTGATTACATAAAAGATCAATTACTATACTATTTACATTTTTATAGATAGTGATTTCTATTAATTACTTGAAAGTAGAGGTTTACATAGCAGATTCCAACAACATCTTACTTTCCACCTCTACTTGGGAATACAAGCTCCAACGGCAAAGCGACGTTGTCGTCCTAGCTGACAGTTTTCAATCCCATTGGAGTGCTGCGTATCATCCATGAATATGAGTTGTATCTCTGTCATGTCAGTTACAAATAGCGTTAATATGTCATTTAGATATCTTGGATTGTTTTGGTATATAAATATACGTATAGCTATTGCATAATTATTAGTCATAGAATCATAAATCATATGTCCGTTCTGAATGAATGGTTGACTGTCCAACCTTGATGTTTGATTGAGTCTGCAATGTAGCTGAGCACACTGGCACACTGTAATTTTTCTTGTGCTGCTTCCCTTTGTGGCCCAGCGCTGGGTTTGTACGTACCTTCAAATAAGTGTCAAGAGATTGCTGTGTATTTCTTGCCCTCTCCTTGTATTTCAAATTTCAAGAGATTTTGCAAGTGTGGTGTTCAGGTTTCGGGTTTGCAGTAATCTCTACTGAAAACGGGGATTTCGCAGCCAGCCATGTAATGCAGGAGTGTTTACATTTCATTATTCGCAAGGCCTGGTTTTGCGACCAAACTGTCCAATAAGATGACACTGCAGCAATTCAGCAAAGATGTGGAAAACTTGCCGTTTACAGTTAAGGATCAAAGTCGTAGTATTTTTTTTGGTTTTGCTTTCAACACACCGTTGGGCGAAGCGCTCCAGAAGGTTGTAGAAATTGTGGCTCTGCCTATGGGATTTGCAATGATTTGTTGGGCGTCTTTTTTGGGCCACATCCCTATATTCTGATGAGTACTTGGATGATCATATTATATTTTTTGTGAGGTTGCTTAGCATATTTGTATAGCTTGGGGGAACTTCACAGTAGGAAACAATAAAGACATAATTGTGAAATAGTAACGACATATGGCAACAATAGAATATGAAAAGAAAATAATTCGAAACTACATATGGCAAAGATTACTGAAATAATAAGGACATTAGAGGGAATAGTAGGATAATAATCGGGAAAAAAATCTGAAATGTTGAAAGGACAATAATAATAGGGAAATAATAGGGGCATAATGGGAAAATAATAGGGAAAGAATAGGTAAACAATAGGGACATAGTAGGGAAATAATAGGAAAATAATAGGGAAATAAATATGGAAATAAATAGGGAAATAAATAGTGAAATAAATAGGGAAATAAATAGGGAAATAGATAGGGAATTAAATAGGGAAATAAATAGGGAAATAACAGGGTAATAAATAGGGAAATAAATAGGGAAATAAATAGGGAAATAACAGGGTAATAAATAGGGAAATAATAGTGAAATAAATACGGAAAAAATAAGGAAATAAATAGGGAAATAATAGGGACATAAATCGGGAAATAAATGGGGAAATAAATAGTGAAATAATAGGGAAATAATTCGGGAAATAAATAGGGAAATAAATAGGAACATAAATAGGGAAATAAATAGGGAAATAAATAGGGAAATAAATAGGGAAATAAATAGGGAAATAAATAGGGAAATAATAGGGAAATAAATAGGGAAATAAATAGGGAAATAAATAGGGAAATAAATAGGGAAATAAATAGGGAAATAACAGGGTAATAAATAGGGAAATAATAGTGAAATAAATACGGAAAAAATAAGGAAATAAATAGGGAAATAATAGGGACATAAATCGGGAAATAAAAATGGGGAAATAAATAGTGAAATAATAGGGAAATAATTCGGGAAATAAATAGAGAAATAAATAGGAAAATAAATACGGAAATAAATAGGGAAATAAATATGGAGATATATAGGGAAATAATCGGGCAATAAATCGAGAAATAATAGGGAAATAAATAGGGCAATAATAGGGAAATAAGGGAAATAAATAGGGAAATAAATTGGGAAATAAATAGGGAAATAATGAGGAACTAATATATACATTATAGAGAAATATATAATAGGAAAATAATTGGGAAATACTAGGAAAATAGTAGGGAAACAATAGAAAAATAATAGGGAAAGAATAGGTAAACAATAGGGAAATAATAGGGAAATAGTAGGGAAATAATGGGGAAATAGTAGGGAAATAATAAGGACATAATAGGAAAATAATATGTACATAATAGGAAAATAAATAGGGGAATAAATAGGGACATATATAGGGAAATAATAGGGAAATAATAGGGAAATAATAGGGAAATAAAAGGGCAATAATAGGGAAATAAGGGAAATAAATACGGAAATAAATAGTGAAATAAATAGGGAAATAATAGGGAAATAAATAGGGGAATAAATAGGGACATATATAGGGAAATAATAGGGAAATAAATAGGGAAATAAATAGGAAAATAAATAGGGAAATAAATAGGGAAATAAGGGAAATAAATACGGAAATAAATAGTGAAATAAATAGGGAAATAAATAGGGAAATAAATGGGGAAATAAATAGGAAAATAAATAGGGAAATAAATAGGGAAATAAATAGTGAAATAAATAGGGAAATAAATAGGGAAATAAATAGAAAAATTTGAGGGAAATAAATAAATAGGGAAATAAATAGGGAAATAGATAGGGAATTAAATAGGGAAATAAATAGGGAAATAACAGGGTAATAAATAGGGAAATAAATAGGGAAATAAATAGGGAAATAACAGGGTAATAAATAGGGAAATAATAGTGAAATAAATACGGAAAAAATAAGGAAATAAATAGGGAAATAATAGGGACATAAATCGGGAAATAAATGGGGAAATAAATAGTGAAATAATAGGGAAATAATTCGGGAAATAAATAGGGAAATAAATAGGAAAATAAATACGGAAATAAATAGGGAAATAAATAGGGAAATAAATAGGGAAATAAATAGCGAAAGAAATAGGAACAAATAGGGAAATAAATAGGGAAATAAATAGGGAAATAAATAGGGAAATAATAAGGAAATACTAGGGGAGTAATAGGGAAATAATAAGGACATAATAGGGAAATAATAGGGACATAATAGGGAAATAATAGGGAACTACTAGGTTTACGACTGTTTCGTGGCCGTGGTAAAAATGTCCATGATGTGAATAGAAAATAAGCACGCTGCTATAGCGAAACAATGATTGTGCACATCCAGCATGTGAAAATGCATCATCGTCGTTTCAGAAAACTACTTGTTTTATTTGCACTGTCATCATCATAATGAGCATCATCATCATGATCATGATCATCATCACATCATCATCATCATCATCAACATCATCATCATCATTACAGCATCATCATCTTCAGCATCATCACTAGCATCCTCAGGATCATATAGATCGTCACTAGCATCATCAGCTGCAGCGTCACTTCCTTCCTTCAGTTGCGTCCACGCTCCGCGAACACACGCCACAGTTCTTGCAAGAACTTAGCACTAGAGACTGATGCAACCCTTCAGTTGCGTAGCATCCAACATGTGTGCCACTTACAAGGAACGTTAGCATGCCCCACCCCACCCCAACCCTTCAGTTGCGTAACATCCAACATGTGTGCAACTTACAAGGAACGTTAACATGCCCCACCCCACCCCAAGCCCTCAGTTGCGTAGCATCCAACATGTGTGCAACTTACAAGGAACGTTAACATGCCCCACCCCACCCCAACCCTTCAGTTGCGTAACGTCCAACATGTGTGCAACTTACAAGGAACGTTCATGCCCCACCCCACCCCAACCCTTCAGTTGCGTAGCATCCAACATGTGTGCCACTTACAAGGAACGTTAACATGCCCCACCCCACCCCAACCCCTCAGTTGCGTAGCATCCAACATGTGTGCAACTTACAAGGAACGTTCATGCCCCACCCCACCCCAACCCCTCAGTTCCGTAGCATCCAACATGTGTGCCACTTACAAGGAACGTTAACATGCCCCACCACACCCTAACCCTTCAAATGTGGTCAAAAAGCAAAAAAAAACACTTCCTGCCACGACCGTGCAGCAGTCGGTGTCCAACTACTATTGAAATGAAAGGGAAATAATAGGGAAATAGTCGAGAAATAATAGGGAAATAATAGGGAAATACTAGGGATATAATAGGTAAATAAATAGGGAAATAAATAGGGAAATAAATAGGGAAATATATAGGGAAATAATAGGGAAATAATATGGAAATAAATAGGAAAATAAATAGGGAAATAAATAAGGAAATAAATAGGAAAATAAATAGGGAAATAAATAGGAAAATAAATAGTGAAATAAATAAGGAAATAAATAGGGAAATAAATAGGGAAATAAATAGGGAAATAAATAGGGAAATAAATAGGGGAATAAATAGGGAAATATATAGGGAAATAGTAGGGAAATAATAGGGAAATAAATCGGGAAATAAATAGGAAAATAAATAGGAAAATACATAGGGAAATAAATAGGGAAATAAATAGTGAAATAAATAGGGAAATAAATAGGAACATAAATAGGGAAATAAATAGGGAAATAAATAGGGAAATAATTAGTGAAATAAATAGGGACATAAATAGGGACATAAATAGGAAAATAAATAGGGAAATAAATAGGGAAATAAATAGGGAAATAAATAGGGAAATAAATAGGAAAATAAATAGGGAAATAAATAGGGAAATATATAGGGAAATAGTAGGGAAATAATAGGGAAATAAATCGGGAAATAAATAGGAAAATAAATAGGAAAATACATAGGGAAATAAATAGGGAAATAAATAGTGAAATAAATAGGGAAATAAATAGGAACATAAATAGGGAAATAAATAGGGAAATAAATAGGGAAATAAATAGGAAAATAAATAGGGAAATAAATCGGGAAGTAAATAGTGAAATCAGTAGGGACATAAATAGGAAAATAAATAGGGAAATACATAGGGAAATTAATAGGGAAATAAATAGGAACATAAATAGGGAAATAAATAGGGAAATAAATAGGAAAATAAATAGGGAAATAATTAGTGAAATAAATAGGGACATAAATAGGGACATAAATAGGAAAATAAATAGGGAAATAAATAGGGAAATAAATAGGGAAATAAATAGGGAAATAAATGGGGAAATAAATAGTGAAATAATAGGGAAATAATTCGGGAAATAAATAGGGAAATAAATAGGAAAATAAATACGGAAATAAATAGGGAAATAAATAGGGAAATAAATAGGGAAATAAATAGGGAAATAAATAGGGAAATAAATAGGGGAATAAATAGGGAAATATATAGGGAAATAATAGGGAAATAAGTAGGGAAATAAATAGGCAAATTAATAGGGAAATAAATAGGGAAATAAATAGGGCAATAAATAGGGAAATAAATAGGAAAATAAATAGGGAAATAAATAGGGAAATAAATAGGGAAATAAATAGGAAAATAAATAGGGAAATAAATAGGGAAATAAGTCGGGAAATAAATAGGGAAATAAATAGGGGAATAAATAGGAACATAAATCGGTAAATAAATAAGGAAGTATATACGGGAAATAAATAGTGAAATAAATATGGAAATAAATCGGGAAATAATAGGGAAATAAATAGGGAAATAAATAGTGAAATAAATAGGGAAATAAATAGGAACATAAATAGGGAAATAAATAGGGAAATAAATAGAAAAATAAATATTGAAATAAAAAGGGAAAAAATAGGGAAATAAAAAGGGAAATAAATAAGGACATAAATAGGGAAATAAATAGGGCAATAAATAGGGAAATAAATAGGAAAATAAATAGGGAAATAAAAGGGGAATAAATGGGGAAATATATAGGGAAATAAATAGGGAAATAAATAGTGAATAAATAGGGAAATAAATAGGAACATAAATCGGTAAATAAATAAGGAAGTATATACGGGAAATAAATAGTGAAATAAATATGGAAATAAATCGGGAAATAATAGGGAAATAAATAGGGAAATAAATAGGGAAATCAATAGGGGAATAAATAGGGAAATACATAGGGAAATAATAGGGAAATAATAGGGAAACAAATAGAAAAATAAATAGGGAAATAAATCGGGAAATAAATAGTGAAATAAATAGGTACATAAATAGGGACATAAATAGGAAAATAAATAAATAGGGAC